GAAATAGTTCTTGCCTTACCTAAGCAAAAAAAAGGATGTTTTTCATGTTTAACATAAAATCAAAGATCTATAACTACTATAAGTACTATTTTGTTCATTTATATTTGGAAATATAAATTTCCGCAAAATTAATAACTAAAATGTAAGAATGGCGAACAATGACATTCATTTCAATCTTTAAAAAATTGTGTCGCTTTCAAAAATTCTTGGGAAGTCAATATTCCCTAACACAACAAAGAAAAATAAAATCCACAAATTTTCCAACAAAAAAGGGTTTTTTTTTTTTGCTAAAAATGTACTAATTATTTCCTTATAATTGGTACTTCAAAAAGTGATTGATTTAACTTAATCAGTCGGAAATATACTGTCTCTCTATCCAGAACGGAATCATTCTGCCTAATTGTGTCACAGGTAAACAAAGATCTACTCTTTAGTTCAATTGAATGTTGATATTTAAATCTATGCAAAATCCATAACCCAAATGTTGGAGTGAAGTATGGCATTCATCTCGGCCTTGAAAACTGTGTAGCTCTCGTACATCCTCGGAAGGTCTAAAACTCTCCCACAAGTGTGTGCAATTGGTCTTCTTGCAATGCCTTCTAGGTCAACAATTTTTACTTGAATTTTGAAAAAAAACTCCCTCCGAATCGTACAACATGAGGTCACTGGCTGTTAAGAATCGAAGTAAAGTGCGCAACATCCTTGTGTCCATATCAATTTCACGGATGTATCTTTTGAGAAACTTGAACGAATCGGATTCATACTCTTCGCATTCAAGGGAGGAAATAAGTTTTTTTGACGTTGGTGTGATTTTTTGAAACTCCTTTTCAACATCCATAGCTAGTTCGTAAGTTATAAGCACCTCGAAAAGACATTCTCTGATGTATGCTGGTTCTTGAACCATTTCCAAATGGGCTATTTGATCAATGACTGCTCCCAAATTGTTTTTTGTGACTTTAACTTTGCATTCATGGGTTGAAAGGATCTCTAGAAGTTCGTCCATTTCCACATTCTCTATGTTGTCAAGTGCTCTTGAAAGAATCGTATTTTCACTGTTTGGAATAAATTGAAGAAACTCTTCCATGATCCTGTCATCATTAGTCATTCCATACAACGCCGACTTTAAAAAGTTTGGAGCCAGTCGAATGGGTAGTACTTTCTGGAGAATCCATCCTAAGGCTATGATCCTTCCTACAGCTTTCCAATCTGCCGCCTCCATATCGTGGCGTAGACATGGAACTTTCAAATTTGTGCCAGTGGTGCACTGTTCATAAAAGTCATCCCAGAATTCTGTCAGAAGGTCCCTCATAACACCCCCACTGTCATTCGCTTGTTCTCTTTCCCCATTTGGAAGAATAATAGTCGCAGTTATGATGTCTTTAGAAAAGTCAACATCTGAGTTTTCTTTGAAAATTTTGATAAGTTCTCGCAGTACCTGACCCCTGTGGACTACAATTTCAAATTTTTTAGGCTCACAAACTATTTGTACTATTGGTTCGGTGTGTGTAAAGGCCACTTCCCCCAAACTGTCTTCCCAAACTGGAAAGAAAAGAGGGTCAGGTAGTGGTGATTCTGGTTGATTTGATTCTGTAAGTTTCTGATTATCTTTACTTGAAATTGTCGATGAGGTAGAAATACTAGACGTTAGATCTTGTTCCTTCTTTTTAGCTCCTTCATCGATCTTATTTGGTTCATCTTTTGATTCTGCAGACTGCTCACTAGGATTGCATGGCATTGGCAATGTGCTACTTGTATTCAATTTCTGTTGGCATCCTTCCTTTTTCTGCTTTTCATCATCATCACTCTCATCTGCGATTGGCTTTTTGAGTCTTGTGCGCAGGTAAAAATGAATAAATTGCAGTTTTGCCTTGTCTATTATGTCACCCAATGTGGTTTCTTTGTCCTCTAAAGGTTTAAGCTGGAAATCGGTCAATTCAACTTCCATGTTCTTCAGCTCTCCATGCTGACTCTCTCCATTGGGGAAAAAAAGATCTAAGCATTCTTTTATAATGGCTTCTTTGTTCATGTTTTTGTTTAACATCAATGTTCTTTTCCCTCCCCCTCCCTTCGTCTTACATGTTGGTAAAGATTTTTCTTTTCATCGAAATGATACCAGCCGAGGTGAACTCTATGTACATCTTTCTGTGCACTTAACTTTGGAATTTTCTTTTCGGTGGTGGATTCTGGATCATCTGGATCATCAGTGCATGTTTCTGTAGAGTTGGCTCTGCTACTTCGTAGTCGATCTCTTAATCGATCCATCAGACTGGATTTTCTTGTTCTTGATTTATTGAATGTTTGTGTAAGAAAGTCTTTTAAGGCAAATCGATCTCCTTTCTTGGGGAGGTATTCCGCTAAATCTGAATCCGTCATGCCTCGGGCAGCATCTTCGTCTATCTATAAAGTATAAAATCATAAATGTATAAATAACCTCCTGTTTTGTTCTTTTGAGCCTTTTAATAATTATCTAATGCAGAGAATCGGTGTCCCCCACTGTGGGAAACAAGAGGCCCATGGGCCTTATAGGTCACATGAGCATCATGCAACAACTTTACAACAATTGACTTTGGTTCATGTTCTAAACTAGATGTCATTGTAATAGTGATAGTTTTATACTATTTTAAATATTATGATATTCAAATGTATAATTTAATAATTATACATTTATGAATTAGTCACAACTGATTTTTTTACTCTGTGTCAATCAATATTGACCAAAACAAATAATTTAAACTCAAATATTGGAACCTTTCACTTAAATAATTAATCAAATAAAATACTTTTTAAATAACTTAATAAAACAACCTAAATGAAATAAAATAAATAATCAGCTAAATATTTAGATCCACTCCTTTTCTATTTCTACACCTGTAATAAACTACCTGAGTAGAATTCAATTTCCTTAAATCCTATTGGTCAAGACTTTTACCTCCAAATTCTGGACAACAGACAAAGACACTTTTTCAGCGACTATGCATGAGTTTACATGCTATTGCAAATGATCTTTAATTTATGAAATTTGACTGACTGTTTCAAAGAAACTGAAAGTATCATATAATTTACTTTTTAAAATACATAACTTAAAATCAAATACTTTCATATTCATAATTTCTGATTTCTGAAATTAATAAACTGAATGAGAGATTTTTGGAGTGAGAGATAAAATTTATTTTGCAGAGTCCAGAATTGTTTATTTATTGCTTATACTCTGCTGCATCTTATTTAAAGAAGCTAGGAGTCAGCTTTATTCCACAAATAAGTACCAATTTATATATTTTTGCAATACAGGTTTACTATTTTATTCGGAGAATTGTAAATGTGATACTTAATAATAATTTCTATTTATTATACTGTCAACAAAGAGAAATTATTTTCTATATGTATGTTTAATATCAGATACTTCATGGCATTTTATAAAAACTCTGATTCAAGGGGAATAACTTGTGAATTCCTCAAATGCCATGTATTGATGTTTTATGATTTGTTATAATGTGAAATTACTATTTTTATATCATGATTGAATATGTATTGTATTTTCAGGGCTATGATTTGCTTGTATGATGACTCTCTGAATAAAACCAATGTGTACACGAACCCGCAGGTGTTATTGTTTATCTACAACCCCTGTTACATCATGGCATTCAAAATTTTGAAAGAGGCACCATAGCTAATGATAAATATACGCTTAGCATGTTTAGTTTGGTTACTTAATACCCATACACAGAGTAGGGGAACAAAAAAATACATTTCAACTAATCAGTAACATTCAGCAAGGATCAGTATAGTGCCACTACCACACATGAACCCCTGCCCCTTGGTCCACACATTTCACAATGTTGGAAAAGCCACCCTTGCTTATCAAAAATATTTGATTAATACAAAAGAGAAGATTTCAATCAATAAAGTCATTTCCAGTATATAAGTAGAGCCCCCCCCCCTCCGTCTATGGTACCCTGACCCAGGGCCGTTGAAATTCACAATTCAGGAAGAATGGCCCTAGCTCACCATAGCTATATAGGTACAATGTAGTTCATCACGAGTTCACCCAGGAGCAGAGGATTTTCAAACAATTTATGCATTTTCTCTATATAACCAATAGAGCCCCGCCCTAATAATAGAACCCCTGACCCTGGGGCCATATAATTCACAATTTTGGAAGAGGCATTCTTGCTCATCATAACTATATACTTAGTTAGTTTGTTTAATACCCAGGAGCAGAGAAGAAGATTTTCAAAGAAATAAAAAGCATTTTCACTATATAATCTATGTAGCCTCGCCCTATAACCCCTGACCCTGGGGCCATGAATTTCACAATTTTGGTAGAGGACTCAATGCTCATTACATTCATGCCAACAGTTTGCCTGCTTGATCTCCAGGAGTAAAGAAGAAGATTTTTAAAGATTGCAATACTTTTAGTGGTTTTGGCCCCACCCCTCAGGCCCCAGGGGGTGGGGACCATAAAATTCACAACTTTTGTTTCCCTTGACCAATAGATGCTGTATACCAAATTTGGTTGAAATTGGTTCAGTGGTTTAAGAGAAAAAGTTGAAAATGTTCAAATGTTAACACACGACACACGACGATGGACAAAAACGGATAGCAATAGGACCTAAAAATACTATGTAGGACATATTTCTAACCATTTGATTGTTCAATGATATCATATAAATAAAGAAATAAGAGTAAAATTCTTTGTTATGCATAATAAATACTGTAGAAGCACAAATTTTCGTGGGCATAATATTTCGTTGTTTTTTCATCAAAAATAATTTCGTGTGCATTTAGTTTCATTGTTTTAAAAACTAACTCTATTCAATATACAGTCGGATAAAATTTCGTGTGGGATTTAATTTCGTTGAATTTTGTGAACAAAGAAATAAACGAAATTTAATCCCCCACGAATATTTGTGCTTTTACTGTACTTTTTTTTATCAATTAATAGGTCCATATTGAAGAAAAAAAAAAACAACATTAAAACAATGAATTACATGTATCAGGCAACAATGGCAAATAACAAATTAAAATATCAATAATTTTTAACAAGTAGAAAGGTCATGAAAGATAATATCTAACAACTAGTGTCTACAATTTGAGTTATTGTGTCCAGTCATTTTGCATTTCCTGCACTTCCAAGTCAATGTCATCAGGAGATTCTATCTTGATGAGGGGATTTTAGACAACTGGATTTGGGCAACTTTCCTTGTTCAAACAATATGGAGCACATCTTCATACAGATACCACTGCTTGCCTGTGTGCATCTAGACCCCTGGGAGGAATCGAAGTAGGAAGAGCATTTGGATCCACTGTAGCACAAGCTTTGAGGACGTTGAAAAAGTCTCTGGCAGGAATACAGTACCAGGATTGTCTTTGTCTTTGTCCATCCTAAAATATTTGAAAGAAAAATGTACATATGTAAAGACATACTATAATTCACTTCAATAATACAAGTGAAGTCCAAATACTTGTACATTTTCATAAGTCTTCTGTGCAAACAATTTTTTTATTGATCTCTGTTGAGTAATGATGTGTTAATTCTGATTACAGTAAAACTTGTTTAGTATGAACACGGATATTGCGAATTCACGGAAATACCGAATTTATCTTGGATGCCCAAATACAGATTTTAATTTCACACCCTTTATTAGGTCACTAACTGACTGTGTTATGAATTTATACGGCTGAAGACCTTTTTCAATATGAAAAAAATATTTATGCACTTTATGAAAATATTAAGTTTTAATCCAATAAAAATCAACATAATACCTTTACGGTAACAAGTAATTCAACTAAACTACCTATGCAAAACCTTTCTTAGCCGCAATTTTTATTTACAATAACAACGCTTTGAAAGGAATGGCGTGCCCAATTTTCATATAACTCCTCGACGGTGATGTAACATGGAAATTTTCAAGGCATCATGTGATCAGCCTTTATTCAATCAGCATTCTACAAATTTATCTGAAGCGGGATAAACTAAATTGTTATTCTAATTTATATATGAAATAAAATATATAATATATTTATATTTAATTAATTTAGGTTTTCTTCCTTCTAAAATTTCAAAACTTTACTTTTTCCTTTCTCGAAATATTTACCTTATGAATTTGTTGTTCTTGTTTTGTCCACTGCAATACTTCTCCAAGACCATGGTGATGCAACATACTGGTTACTGTGTTTGCTCCTTTATTTGAGTGTTGAGCTTCATCGACAAGAAGAAATATCGGGCGTACCTACAAATGAATTACAGCTGTATATTTTGGATATGGATGATAGTATTTATTTATTTATCAATGTTTTGTCACAAACAAATGATAAACAAGAGATGTTTGTAAAACACTTATTCCCCCCTCCCCCCAAACTGGAATTTTTCCAAGTCGAAAAGGGCATAGCTCTGTCAGAAATGGCGCAATTGTACATGTACCTAAAACAGAACTTGACCAAGATCTGTATACCAAATTTCATTTTAGTATGTGCAACCTCTGCAAAGAAAATGAAAGGAAACAGCAAATAATTGGAATTTTTTTCTAAGTTCAAGGGGAATAACTCTGTCAAAAATGGTGCAATGGTATGCAAAACAAAATTTGATCTAGATACTCATCTGATAAATCTGTATACTAAATTTCATCTCAGTATGTGCAACGGTTGTGAAGAAAATGAACGGAAACTTCAAATAATTGAAATTTTTATAAGTCCAAGGGGCATAACTCTGTCAAAAATGGTGCGATCGTACCCATAACATAACTTGACCTAGATATTTATGTGATATATCTGTACACCAAATTTCATTTCAGTATGTGCAACGGTTGCGAAGAAAATGAACGGAAACTAAGTGGACCGACAGACCGACGGACCGACAGACAGCAGCAAAGCAATATGCCCTCCCTTCTTCGAAGGGGGGCATAATAAATAAATTTGAATGAAATAAATTATAAATTCAAATAAGCAACTAATTAATTATATCAAATAAATCCAAATATACATATACCTGATCCCTCGGAGCAAATGCCAAAGCAATTTGACATTTCCTTGATGTTTAAAATAACAAGGGCCCAACTTGCTGTGCATAGTGAGGGTAATGCCCCAAGCTGGTGTGCATATAAGGAAAATTGTAATAAACTTGGTCTTCAAGGTACAAGGTGGCTGGCTTAAAAACAAAAATGAGTGAAATCAAAAACAACTCGGTAATGACTTTATCAAAAAGATCTACAGGTAATTGATTATATTAATGCATAGTTTAATCTTAATACAATGAAGTACATTTCTCAGAAATATTTTCATGGTCATCTTATACTTTGCCAGCCTTTAAAGTTCAAACAAATATATATTAAAAAAATGGATTTCTTATTAAACAGAAAATATAAAATTTAATATGTATTTTTATTCATACGTGTAGTTGTGTTACCTCTCGATTTTTTTTCTAGACTGAATTGGCTAAATGTTGACTTCACTTTAGCACTCTGATCCCTGTAATGATCGATTTCTCTGTGTCTTCATGTGTTCAAAATGTCTCTTACTTAGTTAATAATTCCTCCTTTTCTTCCTCATTCAAGTTGCCACTGTATACTTCAGTCATTGTGGCTTATTTCGTTATCACACTCATCATCAGTGTCATCATCACTTTCATCAGATTATAGCTGAACATTCAACTGTTCAAAACCGTCATTTCAAAAGAAATTTCCTCTTTAAACTCGTACTCGTAGTCGTCCTGGTCTATTATTGAAGGGGGGAATGGTACTTGCACTCGAAAACACTACTCTGGCTCATACTTACATAAGATAAGCACAGTCGGCAGAATATCGAACAGAAGTTTACTTTGACAACGGAATATTGGTGCTCGGCCCAAATTTGCAGACACCTCGGCTCACATAAAAGACACCTCGGTCCAAACAGAAATATAATATTTTAGTTAAATATATTTATTATTTATGCTGTTATATATCTATGAAATGCAAAAGAAAATTAATTTGATACATTTGCAATCTTCCAAGACGGTAAATTGACGGTAATTAAAGAAAGACAATTCATTAGTAACTTGATCATAAGTGCTAATCATTAAACAAACAAGAAGATGCGGTACATCCTTTTGGAGTCTCGAGCGCGTGTCATATGGGGTGGTGACTATGAGGAGTTAATTACACACCATAATTTCAACACCTGAGAAGCCATAATTGGGAGACTTACTCATGTTAATGAAAAGTTTCTTTAAGAAACCCTTGTTGATATTTTATTAAATTGATTTGAAAAAAAATAGGCCTATGAGTTTTTAAAATTAAGCTCTCATAAAATATATATATATATATATATATATATATATATATATATATATATATATATATATATATATATATATATATATATATATATATATATATATATATATATATATATATATAATAAACAATTTAAATCAATAAATCTTGAAAACCAGGGCATAAACTTCTGTGTAGACCTATTACATATACCTCCCAATCAACGGATTGTAATTTGATGTTGTACTGTGGTTATGTTAGAAAATACTGAAATATTGAAATTATATTTATAGTATACGTATAGTGATTACATTACCGTGGCATAGAAAGTACAAAAAATTAGACTAATTTAAACAAACTAAATTTAATTTTATTCCTAACGGGCCGAGCAGTCTTCGGTATGGGCCGAGATGTCAATGATTTTGAGCCGACCTGTCAGGGCTGAGGTGTCAACCAGCACGGGCCAAGGTGTCATTGGGCCGAGTAGTCTGTTACCGTCTATATACACGACCGTCGTGCATATAATTTCAATGACTATTCGCACGACCGTCGTGCATATAATTTCAATGACTATTCGCACGACCGTCGTGCATATAATTTCAATGACTATTCGCATACCGTCGTGCATATAATTTCAATGACTATTCGCACGACCGTCGTGTATATAATTTCAATGACTATTTACACGACCGTCGTGTAAAACATCAAACATGCATTGTGTAATGGTTAGGGCCGTGGATATCGGCCTGGATAGCTCAGTTGGTAGAGCACCTGACTAGAGATACAGGGGTCCCGGGTTCGATTCCCGGTCCAGCCATGCATTTTCTCCTTTCCTGTTACAGATTTGGTGCCGTGCCATGCCCTGGAATTGACAGGTGAAAGACCTGCCAGGGATGAGCCTGGTCTTTGGAGGGCCAAAGACCTTTAAGGAGGGAGGAATGTAATGGTTAGGGCCGTGGATATCGGCCTGGATAGCTCAGTTGGTAGAGCACCTGACTAGAGATACAGGGGTCCCGGGTTCGATTCCCGGTCCAGCCATGCATTTTCTCCTTTCCTGTTACAATTGTATTTATCTTTCCTTGTTTGAAGTGCGAGACGGTTCGTCCCCACAGACCGTTCGCACTGAGGCGTTTCGTCCCAATATTACTTGGTTACATGTATCCGTTGTATTTAGTAATTGTCACTTGTTGACAGAAATCATTTACTTGTTATTGGCTTTTGAACTTTGTTGAATTAATTAAACCATTTGTTTTAATCAATTAAGGATATGGATTCTGAAAAAGAACATGAACAAAAGACCTGACGCACTGATTTCATGCAAACATCTCAGTGCCAGTGGTGCGGATATCTTGTATAATTTGGGAAATATTGCGAACAAATGATGCACAACCTAAATAAAATAAATTTATTTCCTAACTATATTAGGAAATAAAATCGAGAATCTCTCTTTATATTATTGTATATAAATGACCTCAATACATGTATATTGTCTGTCAAAAGGCATTTGAATTTAATTTTTAAAAAATAATTGTCAAACCTGCTTTTTTATGACCTTATGTTACTTAAAAAAAGAACGAAACAAAATTTTATTAATTTTACTTAATTTACCTTAATTACACTGAAACTGCATGAATCAGACGCCAAATAAACGTAATTATATCTGCACATGGATAACTATTTTATACGTATTTTTGATTAGTGGAAAGAAGGTGATTTTTTTGTGAGAACCGTAAAGTTTCCTCTCTTCATTATATATATATGATCTATACTGAGTATATGGTATATATAGTTATATGTACTAGAAATTTATACAGAATTTCTATCTGGTGCTGACATCTTTATTCATAAAAAATGATGATGATGATGAATTAAATCTTGCGTATTCAATTAAAGTTCTTTCTTTGAGAAATGCAATAAATCAAAAAGAAAGTTCAGTTATGCTACGGAAAATGTCTTTGAACTGGATATCAGTTCCTTTGCATCTCCCATAGTTTATCAGTTCATAAATTTTATTGTTGGCATTTTCCTCCTTTCTTCTATCCTGGTATGTAATTCCGTGAAACATTATGTCAACTATTTATTAACTAAGTTGAAAGAAGAAGAAATTAAATTCCAACGGTTGTCATAGTATGATAAAATCATTATGCAGGTGTATAGAGATCTCAGTTGAGTCTCAGAATCTGTATGCAGTTGTAAATGGGAGGAGTCTAGGTCAATATCCAATCACTTTGCTTACAAAGAAGAATAACTATATCCCCAGAAATGAAAGAAAGTCGCAATGAAAGAAGAAATATAATTAATGAATATTAGTCCTTCTCCAAAGCTGTCGGCTGATATCGGGTGGCTGATTAAATTTTTTTTCTTGTGACGTTTACCTTGGGTGGCAGTATTAACAAGACTTTTTACGTTGAACTTAAATATCTTGAGTTGTTTTAGCGGGAAACTTTAGATATGTTTTAAGTTAGATAAGATGAACGAGGGAGATGAATTCAACTCATTTGAGGAGTTTCAAGACAAACTAGGAGACTTATTGTTCACAGAACAATAAGAGGTCTTTCCACCTTTTTAAATTTTTTAGTTTTATATTTCACTCTCTAATTTAATTTTAAGGGAAATGGCTTAAGACAAGAAAATGAAAATTATTTTTTTTTTTGTGAAATGACCTTGACCTTTGACCTTGATCAGATCTTCAAGGTCAAAGGTCAAGGGTCACAATGCAATTGACCCCATGCCTCTACGACTTATAGTTCTATAGTTATAAGTTTAAATATTAAGTGCAAAGAAGTTAAAGGGCAATAACTCATATAAGGGGTCATTTGATCCTTTAGTACTTATACAATGAAGGTGTGCCAAAAGACCACTAAGACATTAGTGAAGGTTTCATGCCTCTACGGTCTACGG